TCCCTCCTCCTACAATCTCACACCACTCTTTCTTTACACTATTTTGGTTCTCTACAAGTTGTAACATAGCTGGTTGAGCCCATACCTTTCTGCCCTACCAGACAAGGCCCAATATTTGTTACTCTAGCACCTAGCACATGCCCAGAATATGGTGTATCTTTAATCATTGTTTGGTGAATGAGTGGGAAAACTCCAAAGTGAAAATACACTTAAGGAGGTTATTTCTCAATGGAGAGAATGCTTCACTCTCCTTTGAACATAAAACAAGAATCAGGTCCCCTAGTCCCCAACTCCCCATTTCTAGTCCACTGCTCAAATAGCTTTAAGCAATGTTTCACAGGGACATTTCCTCACTTCCCCTTGTTCTTTGTAGGTTTAGCTGCCAGCCTAACCACATTAGCATTCAGTAGTAGCAACAAAATGGACTCTTAAAGTTCTAAAAAGCAAAGACTTTACAATTACCAACAGTAAAATATATGCTTTTTAAAAACAGTCTTAATATATATGCATATAAAGCTCATTCTTCACTAAGACTCAGAAAATGGCTTGGCATAGTTTATCCCAAAAGGCACCACTTCAAGAGTTCTTAAGAAAATGTCCACTTAAGCTACCAGCCAAACTTTTCACATTTGTAACCACAGAAATCAGCATGCATGAATTAACTGAAATACTATGCTTACATATAAAACAATCCAATTACAAGAAATAGTCTAAATCAGTAAACTAATAACCCATACAAAAGTAGCTCTTACAGCTTCTTTTGAGAATATTTCCCCTAAAAAATTCCAGGGATCATCCCAACCTATAAAACTATATACTTTTCCTAGTATCACCTTCTTTCTCCCTCTTCTCCCCACCACACTCCCTCAAACACACACACACACACACACACACACACACACACACACACCCCTCCTTACGAGACACAGCTTCCTCAAGAATTATCTGATGGTTCAGTAGCGGTTGGAGCTTTACACAAACCATGTTGTGATTGGGCAAGGCAGAATACCAGATCTGGGATTCAACAGACCATTTCTTACAGTCAGATTATCTTCTAAGTGATTGCTGACTGCTCTTAGAGATACAATACAGATTTGCCTCAAGAGATCACAAATGTGGTAGGCCTACCTTAACAGCAATCAGGTGTTTTTGTTAAGAGACAGGGTCTGTCACCCAAGCGGGAACACAACGGCACGATTATGCTCACGGCAACCTCAAACTCCTAAACTCAAGTGATCCTCCTGCCTCAGCCTCCTGATATCTCAAACTACAAGTGTATGCCACCATACCCTGCTAGGTTTTTTTTTTTTTTTTTTTTTTTAAATATTCTGTAAAGATGGGGTCTCGCTATGTTGCTCAGGCTGGAATTGAATTCCTGGTCTCAAGCAATCCTCCTGCCTTGGCCTCCCAAAGTGCTGGGATTATAAGCATGAACCACCACGCCCAGTCATTGTTTTCTAATATATTAGAACATATCTGTAAAGTTGTATTCCTAGCCCTTCTTTGGGTCATAGAAAGTTTACTTGGTATCACATAAATGTTCACATATTAAAACATTTTAGGCATAAAGACAACATGATGAAGCCTTTCTGATGTTTTGCTAACTACACTGGATTAAGTTGGGTTAAAAATACATTTGCCTAATTCTGAAAGGAACTTTAGAAAAATATACTAAGGCACAAGCAATCCACTTATTTTCCTTGAGCAGTCAAAAATTCATTTCCCAAGTTTTGTCCATATTACATTAAAATAACTTCAAACAAAGCATTCTTGTTGCTCAAGGATTAAAAGTTTCCAATAGCTCAATGTGGTTTTAATCTTCTGGAAACACCTGAAATTGATTTGTTTCACCTCCTTTTACTATTTATCTTCCAGTCTGCTTACCTTAGTAGAATACTGATGGATAAAAGTACTAACTGAAAACCCAAGAAAGTGCGTAATCCACCCTCTAGTTAATAAGGAAATATTATGATACATAGGGCACAAAAATTAACATGTATCCTGAGACTCAAAAAACATTGGACTTGGTCTAAATAAAATGTTTCTAAAAAATGTAACAAGTTCGTTTCTTTTTCATTGCCATTTTACTAAGCATTCATGGAAAATTATACTTGGGTAAGCTCAGGCTGAAAACACTAGCTTTAGCTATCAAGGAAAACATGAACGAACAAAAGAAAATGTCCTTTAGAACATTTTCTGAAATGTTTTTTACAAAATCAGAGATTGGTATTTTAAGACTGATTTTCCAAATACGCTATATATACATGTTAATAAGCATCACACACAGTCACACACAAACATCTAAATTCAGATATCCCATTTCCTGGATTACAGGCCCAGGAAAGGTGCATCTAAACTCTCGATGTTAAAGTAGATATTTGTGAAACTCAACAGCCCACAGAGTCTCCCCTCACCCTCCAATTTTTCACAGTAGCACTGTGTGGATGAATAAGCCTGCATCAGCATGAAGCACTGGGCTTGTCTAAAGACATCTGACAGAAGCTGAATGTATACATTAACTTCCTGTTGAGGTAGGACTGCAGACTGTTTCTAAAGACTGACAGTTCATAGTCCCTTCAGAAACCAAAAAAATCAGCATGCCTTTTAAAATACTCATGAAAAAAATTAATTTCAGTAATTACTGTTCATCGTTATTATTCGCCAACATTTACTGAATGCCTTATTGCATACAAGAAAAGGCATAAAAATTTAATCCCAGACCACAGGAGCTTAAATTTCCCTTAAAACAAGTCACTCATTTGTGGTTATTTCACATAAAATGCTTCTAAAGACAACCCAGAGATTTGGTTGGACCTACAGTGTGCAGGCAAAGTAAATTCAGGTACTGAAATCGTGGGAAGTTGGCCTTCAGTTCCTTAACAAAATTAGACAAGTGCCTAATTATGGTCTAATAAAACAAAAAACCTACAATTTGGGGTTCTAACAGCATACACAGGAATTCAGAAGGAAACCTGAAATCCTTTCTCCTTTAATCCCTTCTATATCTGGACAAGGGCCCTCATTATCTCCTACTTCTACAGTTCCTTCTATAAACACAGGAGCTACATTTCCGTAAAACCTGTTATAAAGCCACTGCCAGCATGGTGGCACTTGCCTATAATCTTAGCTACTAGAGAGGCTGAGGCGGGAGCACTGCTTAAGCCCAGGAGTTCAAGGCCAGCTTAGGCAACATACCAAGAGCCCCACCTCTAATTATTTAAAAAAAAAAAAAAAAAAAAAGTGTGTGTGTGTGTGTGTATATATATATTATACACACACACACGTACATACATATTTTTATAAGAAAACTATTGGGTCAGGTGCAGTGGCTCACACCTGTAATCCCAACACTTTGGGGGGCAAGGCTGGCAGATCACGTTAGGTCAGAAGTTCAAGATCAGCCTGGCCAACATGGCGAAACCTGCCTCTACTAAAAATACAAAAATTACCCAGGCATGGTGGCCCACACCTGTAATCCCAGCTACTCAGGAGTCTGAGGCAGGATAATCGCTTGAACCCAGGAGGCAGAGGCTGCAGTGAGCCAAGACTGAACCACTCACTGCACTCCAGCCTGGGAAACAGAGACTCCTTCTCAAAAAAAAAAAAAAAAAAGAAAGAAAGAAAGAAAGAAAAACAACTATTTCCACAAAAACTCCCAGCTTGGGGATAAGAAATTTTCTTTGCTACATGAGAATATGGCAACTGACTACTAAGCAAGTCATTTTCCCTCCAATATATGACCACTGACTATTAAACATAGAGTCAATATCCCTCCTCTATGTTGAGTTTGAGATTTTGTGATGGAATTAAAGGACTTCAAGTAAGGATGAGCCAAAAGATTAAGTAAAGAGTTTTCTTAATCTGATTGTTTTTTGTTTTGGTCATGGGCCCTGTTGAAAGCCACTGTCTAAGTCCCATGAAAATAAAAAAAAATTCTGCACACAATTTAGAATCCAAGAGTAAATATTCTATATTGCATGTGATAATTATGTCTGCTTTTGTACTCATAAAATAAGAAAACTACACTCAGATGCACTGAGAGAACTAGTAATATTTTCACTGTCTTATGGGGCAACCTGTCAAGAACTGTCAAACACAGTTTTAGGGAGTCGGGACACTAATGAATCAAACACACATACCCAAACAGCATCTCCAAGACTCCAACGCCCCCCTTTCCCAATAACTTACTGGTCAAGCCCAAAGGAGAAAGACTTTTTTAAAAGGCTGGGCTGAGATGGAATGGGAAAAGGATCACTGCGAGCACAGATGATGTCCTGGGACAAAAACTGCCCAACACCGTCCCAAGTGTCAGGCTCACTCACACTACCTTTCTCCTTATGCGTTTCCCAATGCACGGTCTCTGAACACTTAACAAAATGTGAATTTTGCTCTGATCACAGAAAGAATTCAGCACGACTGACACCAGCTCTAAAATAAGCAATTAATATATTCTAATCTAATACTTGAGAAGAATGGAGAACAGGCAATAGCTCCTCCAACTGGTTGGAGCAGATATCACTGGAAGCCCCCCAAATATTAAGATTTTTAAACAACTTCAAGTTCTGGTGGGAACAGCCAAATGCACTGCAGAAACTTTGGGACCAGCAGCCACGACACAACAGGTGAGAGAGGCAGCAGACATCATTGCAAGGTGGAGTGCACAACATACGATGACAAACCCGAAAAGGTCTGGGGATGTGAGAAAATACCATGCACACGGCCATCCCGGAGCCCCTGTCTTTCCAGTGGCAAAAGGTTCGGTTCCTTCGGAGGGGCGTGCCACTCCCCCTCTCCCCCACCCAGGGGACCACCACCCCAGGCACAGCAAGAACCTCGGCCCCTCCGCGGGCACATCTCAGCTGGGGAAGAAAACACAATGTCGCTCCTTATTTCTGCGTACAAAAGGACTTTGCGCCCTCCTCCTCGAACTGCCGCCCCGGCCGCCTCCTAACTTGCAAGGAGGTGGGCAACGCGCCATATTCCAGCGTCCCCCAGTCTACCTGGGTAACAAGCCCACGCCACCCCGACAGGAGGGAAGCTTCGGAGGTCGCCCAAAGAGCCAGCCTCCTCTCCCGCAGGAGACAGCGGCTCCTGCGCCCCAGCCCGGCCCCGCCGCGCCGCCCGCCCGCGGACGAGAGCCGGGAAGGGCCGAGGGGGCGAGCGAAGAGCCGCGGCTTCGGTCCCGCGCAGCCCGCCCACCTCCCGCTCCCGGGCCCGGCGCACTCTCCCGCGCCTCCCGCTCCCGAGCCGCGGGAAGGCCGGGCCCCGGGTTCCACGGCGGGGAGGAGGCCGCGGTCCCGAGAGCCCCAGGCGGCGGCGGAGGCCGGAACCCTGGGGCTCTCGGGAGGGCAGCGCCTCCCTCCCCAGCCCGCCGGGACGCCTGGGGCCTAGTGCGGCCTGCGCATCCTCGGGGTGGCGGTTTGGCTGGGCCGGGCCGGGGCCCCCCGCCCGAGGCGGGCCGAATCCGGCGGGGGCCCAGGCCCGGAGCCGGGGGCGGCAGGGTGCCGGCTGCGGGGCGGGCCGGCCGGCCGGCGGGCGGGCGGCGTGTTGCGGCTGCGCCGGGGCTGAAATAGCTGGAGATTGCGCGGTAGGGCACTCACCTCAGAGCGGCTGCGCTACCGTGGGCCTGCGCCGTGGAGACTGCGACCGCGCCGGCTCCTCGCAGCCTCCTGCCACCAGCGGCAATGGCGAGCGCTGCCGCTTCTGCCGCCGCCGCCGCCGCCGAGGAGGGGGAGGGGAGGAAGAGGGCACGCACGCGACGCACGGCCCGGCTTCCCCGCCCGGCCGCCGCCATGATGAGGAGGTCGGCGCGGCAGCTCTGCCAGGGGGCCGCAGAAAGGGCTCGCGACTAGGGCTCCGGCTTCCCCCACCGCCGCCTCGCGTGCACTAGGCGCCTCAAAGGCTTGGAGGGGACCCGAACCTCAAAAGTAACTGGATTAGCACAACGCGGACGCCCTGGAGAAGCGGCTCAAGCGGGCCCAAAATGGTTGCTGATCAGAAGAGTGGCATTTCTCGCCACCCCTACCGCGGGAATTGGGACCTCCAGACTGTGCCTGGGGGTTCGGCAAGTGGCTCCCCTCCGGTTTTTTCGGCGTTGCCTTCACGGTGGCATCCTCTCTTTGGAATGACGTCTGCTTTTCTATCACGAACTCTTCCAGATACATCGAAGCAAAAGTTTTTGTACAAAGCAACCTATGAATGTATTCAGCCAGTCGATTGTTCGGCGAACATTTCTAGGGGGCCAGTGCTGTGCCAGATACTATTGAGAGCGCCGAAGGTGCACCTGTTAGTAAGACAACGTCCTGGCTCCCAGTAGGGACCCCCAGGCAGCTGCCTGAGAAGTAGGGAGGGGTGGGCAATGGGAAAACAAGCTAACGGTAGAGACACATGGGGGTCCTTTTTTTAATTTTATTTTTAGAAACGCGGGGGGCGGAGGGTCTTCCTGTGTTGCCCGGGCTGGTCTCGAACTCCTGGGCTCAAGTGAGCCTCGGCCTCCCAAAGTGCTGGCACTACAGGCTACCACGCCCGACAGAGGGGTCGTTTTTGTTGTTTCTTAAGTGTTGTCAGGAGACTCCCTCCATCAGAATTACTCAGGCTGATTGTTTTCAGCCCTGGGACCCAGTTGGTATCTCCAGAATCTTGGCTTGTTAGCCTAGAAACCTGCATTTTCACATCCCCACCTCCACACTCCTGATAATTCCTATGCACATAATAACGTGAAAAGCATTGCATTAGAGAATGGCTAAAGGGTGTCAGAAAACGGATTAACAAAATCAGGAAGCTTTAATTTTCAGGATTCTATTAATCTCAAAGTTCAACATATCCAAAAATTGAATCTTTTTCTCCAGTGTTTTCTAAGAGACTGCCACCACCAGCCACCAAATGCTCAAGCCAGAAACCTGGAAATGATCCATTGCTCCTTCCTCTCTCTCTAGAGTCCCCGCATTTAATTAGATTTGTTTGTTTGTGAGACAGGTTCTTGCTCTGTCACCTAGGCTGGAGGGCAGCAGTGCGATCATTGCTCACTGTACCCTCGACCTCTCTGGGCTCAATCCACCTCAGCTTCCCCAGTAGTTGGGACTACAGGTGCCCACCACCAGGCCCGGCTAATCTTTGTATTTTTAGTAGAGACGAGGTTTTGCCTTGCCGGCCACGCTGGTCTGGAACTCCTAGGCTCAAGTGATCTACCTGCCTCAGCCTCCCAAAGTGCTGGGATTACAGCTGTGAGCCACTGTACCTGGCCCCAATTAGATCTTTAAAACTGTTCCACACCGGGGGAGGTGGCTCACGCCTGTAATCACAACACTTTGGGAGGCCAAGGTGGGCGGATCACGAGGTTGGGAGTTCGAGACCAGCCTGACCAACATGGTAAAACCCCATCTCTACTAAAAATACAAAATTAACCGGGTGTGGTGGCGCATTCCTGTAATCTCAGCTACTCAGGAGGCTGAGACTGGAGAATCACTTGAACCTGGGAGGCAGAGGTTGAGGTGAGCCGAGATCGTGCCATTGCACTCCAACCTGGGCAACAAGAGCAGAACTCTTGCCTCAAACAAAACAAAACAAAACAAAACAAAAAAACACTGTTTTTCCCTGTCAATTCTTATTCTGGTTCAAGCTACTATCATCTCTCCTACAGACACTTCAATGGAATCCTCCTGGTCTCCCTGCCACTGAAATTGCCCTCTCCAAATCCATTCTCCACACTACAGCTTGAATGGTCTTTCAAGATAGAAAATCATGTCATTTCCCTGTTTAAGATTCTTAATAAGATCCCATTAACACCGAGGTTAAAGTCCAAAATTCTTTGAGGTGGCTACAGGGCCGTTGGTGATCTCATCCATTTTGCCATCTCTGACCTCATCTGCCACAGATATTTCTCAGGCTACACTCAAACCTGGGAAGCTCTCAGGTCATTGAAGCCTGGAAGTTGTGCCACCTCACAGCTGTTGCAAGGGCTGTTCCCTTTGCCCAGAACTTTCTTCATTTCTCTTTATTCTTTTTTTTTTATTTTGAGACTGAGCCTTGCTCTGTCACCCAGGCTGGAGTGCAGTGGTGCAATCTCAGCTCACCAAAACGTCTGCCTCCCTGGTTCAAGCGACTCTCCTGCCTCAGCCTCTGGAGTAGCTGGGATTACAGGCGTGCACCACCACGCCCAGCTAAATTTTGTATTTTTAGTACAGATGGTGTTTCACCATGTTGTTCAGGCTGGTCTTGAACTCCTGACCTCGTGATCCACCTGCCTTGGCCTCCCAAAGTGCTGGGATTACAGGCGTGAGCCACCATGCCCAGCTTCTTCGTTTCTCCCTACTCCATCTATTCACCTACTTGCATCCTAACCCGAATAATTCCTACTATTCTTTCAGATTCCAACATTAATACCATTGCCTCCAGGCAGCATTTTTTCATCTCCTAAGATTTGGTGCATTAGGCCCTTTGTCATCACACCCAGTACCTACTCCCCACGTTTCTTAAGCCCTCATGATGTGTCACGCCCTATTGTAAGCCTTTATGGACATTATCTTCTTTCTCATTTAATTATCAAGTAGAGCCTGCAAGGTAGGTGGACTATCTTTTCTTTTTTTTTTTTTAAACTTTTGAAACAGGGTCTCACTCTGTCTCCCAGATTGGAGTACAGTGGCACAAACACAGCTCACTGCTGCCTCAACCTCCTGGTCTCAAGTCCTCCCATCTCAGCCTCCTCTCACCATACTTGGCTAATTTTTTAATTTTTTTTTTAATTTTAATTTTTTGGAGACTGCGTTTCACTCTTTTTGCCCAGGCTGGAGTGCAATGGCATGCTCTCAGCTCACTGCAGCCTCCACCTCCTGGGTTCAAGTGATTGAACCAAGTAGTCTCCAAAGTAGATGGGGTTATGGGTGCACACCACTATGCCCAGTTAATTTTGTCTTTTTAGTAGAGACGGGGTTTCACCATGTTGGCCAGGCTGGTCTTGAACTCCTGACCTCAGGTGATCTGCCCTCCTCAGCCTACCAAAGTGCTGGGATTAACAGGCGTGAGTCACTGTGTGTGTGCCCGCCCTAATTATTTTTTTCCAAGATGAATTTTTCACTCTTATTGCCTAGGCTGGAGTACAATGGCACTATCTCAATTAACTGCAACCTCTGCCTCCTGGTTCAAGTGATTCTTCTGCCTCAGCCTCCCAAGGAGCTGGGATTACAGGCACCCACCACCACGCCCAGCTAATTTTTTTGTATTTTTAGTAGAGACGGGGTTTCATCATGTTGGCCAAGCTGGTCTCAAACTCATGACCTCAGGTGATCCACCCGCCTCGGCCTCTCAAAGTTCTGGGATTACAGGCATGAACCACCAAGCCCATCCGCTTTTCTTTTTTTTTTTTTTTTTAACCTTTTTATAGAGACAGGGTCTTGCTATGTTGCCCAGGCTGGTCTCAAACTCCTGGGCTCAAGCCATCCTCCTGCCTTAGCCTCCTAACATGCAGGGATTACAGGAGTGCCACTGTGTCCAGCCTGGGTAGGTACTAATATTACCCCATTTTACAGATGAAGAAACAAGGACATGTAGCGGTTACATAATCTGGGCTGCCCAGCCAAACCCAGGGTGATCTGAAAGTCATTAGCCTGACCTCAGAGTTGTACTTTTAACCGTTACCAGGGTCTCAGTCCGGTACCCACTGATGAAACACAAAAGTAACTTAGTGGGCCATGACCACCATTTCATTAAAGAAATAGAAAATGTCAGAGAACGTCAAACTTAGTTAAGCCTCTTGTTTTGCAAAACTTGTCAGATACTCTAATATGATAAAAATCTGACAAACATTGAAAATACAAAATTAAACAAAATATTACCACGTTTAATACAGAAGTATGAATAGTGCAGATCTGATTTATTTTACTAGTCTCATCTTTAATGCTGAACCGTCTAAGGATTAAATGACACTTCCCATCCCAAGCAAATCGAGGTTACTGCCCCAAACGGACTGGGCTTACCTTTGCAGAACAGGGATTCCTGTTTCAGAATGGAGGTTGTTTTTTGGCCAGAGCTTTTTGGCTAAGAGTCAAGACAGAGATTCTTCTGCTACCACTGAACATAGCAAGTCCCTTTCATATAGATGCTATGTCAACAGGGGTCTCCCCACATCCTACCCTACCAATTAAATTCCCGTGATGCCTTATTCAATTCTTGCTGGACCTATCGATTTGGTTATGAAGTAGGTGAAATTCTGGTAACCTCACCTGGTTTCCTTCCCCTCTTTATTAGATCCAGCCAATCTCTCTATTGGATGATTAAATTTGGCATTCATTTTCTGTACTTGTCCTATCTGCTACTATCCTAAAGTCATTCTAATGACCAAAAAAGGGTACCCTGAGACAGGTTGTAGAGGGTTCTAATGGCCTTCTTAAGAATTT